TTGATGGACACTTTCCGGCCACTACTGGCCGACCCTTTACGGCCAATAACACCGGCGGTATCGGCGCTGGCCGTCGACGCGGCAGAGGCTGAGGTGTTGGGCGACGACGAGTCTGTGGCGGATGTGTTGCCGCCTAAAGGTGTCGATTGGGGGGCATTAGTGGCACCGTTCGTGTCATCGTCTTCAGCCGATGAACGTGAGCCCAATCGCCGGTACTTTGGCCGCCGTTTCGGTCGTTGGCCACCGGTTTGGTTACGACGGCCGCCAATAGTCACCACACAGTCCTCGTTGTTGTCGTTGCCATCGATGATAGGGCTGGTGTCGGAAGACATGTTGTTGTGTGGATGCGATAGTGGATTATCACCGCACGAGTCGACACATGCGGGACTTCGCCGAAGACGAAGGCCACGATCGCAACGATTGCACCGACGACGCGACCAATAGCTACCGGCGCCGGGTGTCCAGCAATGCCTGTCCGCCACCTGAAAGCGAGGGCTCGGGCGTGAGGTTCTGCGGTGACGTGCACTGCGTGGCCACCTCTCCGGACGCCGTCGGCTCACTAGACCTGTTGTCCCAGAAGTACGAGTCGCTCGACTACGACATGATTGAGAATCAACTATATCTGGAGGAACGCAAACGCACGGCCTATACGGGCGTCCGCCGAACGGAGCTGATCCGTTGGGTGACAATATTCATCATCGGTGTGCTGACGGCGCTAACCGCGTGCGTTATTGTGGTCTTCGTGGAGCTACTGTCCCGATACAAGTACCAGAAGTTGAAACAGTTTGTCGACCGGTGCGCTCACAGCGACCATCCCTACTGCATACTCGTGCCGTACGGCCTGTGGCTGGCGATGAACGCCATACCCGTGACGCTCGGGTCGGCGCTGGTGACGTACGTGGCGCCCATAGCGGCCGGTTCAGGCATACCTGTGATCAAGTGCTACCTGAACGGCATCAAAGTGCCCGAAGTGGTGCGCATTAAGACCTACTTCGCCAAACTGGTGGGTGTGGTGTTGTCGGTGGCGGGCGGGTTGGCCTGCGGTAAGGAGGGGCCGATGATTCACTGCGGTTCGGTCATCGCCGCCGGCGTATCGCAGGGAAAGTCCACCACTTTTGCCAAAGACTTCAAAGTGATGCAAGAGTTTCGCGACGACCGCGAGAAGAGGGACTTTGTATCCGCCGGTATGTATTTTGCTGGCCGTTTAAGCTAACTGTCCATTTAATGGTCACATTATGTGTACACAACTGTCCAGTTTAATGACCACACAGTGAACAGACAATTGTCCATATAGTGTGCAGAATAGTTGTGGTCAACACTACTAGAGTGATGACACCATATAGTAAATAACACTATTGAATGACTAATTTACCATATATTACAGGTGCGGCTGCGGGAGTGGCGGCGGCGTTCGGCGCACCCGTCGGTGGCGTACTATTCAGTCTGGAAGAGGGCGCCTCCTTCTGGAACCAGACCCTGACGTGGCGTATATTTTTCTGCTCTATGGTCAGCACATTCACACTCAATCTGATCCTATCGGCCTATCATTTGCACCCTGGTCAACTCTCGTACGCGGGTCTGCTAAACTTTGGCCAATTCGGCCCTGCTGACTTCAACTACAACATCGCTGAACTGCCCCTCTACGCGGCGATGGGCGCCATTGGCGGGCTAACCGGCGCCGCGTATAACTATTTGAACCACCGGTTGACTGTCTTCCGCATTCGTTACCTCCACCGGCCGGCGCTCAAAGTGGCCGAAGCGGCCACCGTTGCCATGGCTACGGCCACTATCGGCTTTTTGATGATCGTCTACATCAGGGACTGTCACACGGAAGTGAAGGAGAACACCGTGGAGTACCCGGTGAGGTACCAGTGCCCTGAGGGCGAGTACTCGGTGATGGGCGCCCTGTGGTTCAATACGCCCGAAGCCTCGTTGCGTAACCTGTTTCACAACGTGGAGGGCACGTGGAGGCCCGAATCGTTGGCCATGTTTACCGTTATTTATTACGGCTTGTCGTGTTGGACGTACGGACTCAGTGTTAGCAGCGGTCTGTTTATCCCGGCGCTTCTGGTGGGCGCCGCCTGGGGTCGACTCGTGGGCATCGGTATGAAGGCCTTGTTTCCCACACAGGACTGGGTATGCGATCCACTATTATATGGGTTTGCGGTCATTGTTGGCGTGTTTTGTAGGCCTTGTAGGCGAGGGCACTGACATTTACAGTGTAGTTCTCCATATAGTATATCATTTTAATAGTTGTTTTAGTGATTTAACTATAGATTTGTTACACTGTAGACAGTATTATTAAGCACCGGGTGTTAAATGTTATCAGCCTTAATCAAAAGTGCGCCCACAAAACACACACATGATATGCAAACAAATGATAACATTATTAATTGTAAACCACTACTAATTACAACTCCAACCCCTCTGAGCGCAGGTATCGCCGGGAAAGTTTGCCCTAATCGGTGCGGCGGCCAACTTGGGTGGCATCGTTCGCATGACCATCAGTCTGACCGTAATCCTGATCGAGGCCACCGGGAATCTGACCTTTGGCCTGCCCATCATGATTACCCTGATTACTGCCAAATGGGTGGGCGATATGTTCGGCGAAGGCATATACGATATACACATACAGTTGTCGAGCATACCGTTCCTGGGATGGGAGCCCCCGTACGGCGCCTCCAATATATACGCCTCCGAAGTAATGTCCAGTCCTGTCACCACTTTTAAAGCGTGCGAAAAGGTTTGTGCTTTGTTTGTTATGGCGATAGTGCTGTTCAAAAAGTACCTACATTTTTATTTTATACTATATGTGCCCCTCTCTATCTCTCCCTATAGGTAGGCGTAATCATCGACGCGCTGGAGTCCCAGTCCCACAATGGGTTCCCC